TACTCAAAATAAGGGGACCCCAATATAGACCCCCAAATACTATAATCCGTAAGGGAACCCCAAAATGGCATGACTAATGTTGGGAAGCCCTAAACCCTATATATATATATATGTCCCTATATATCCCTATAAGGCCCCTATAGCCCCCTTTAAGGGACCCTTAATTTTGGGAACCCTAAACCCTAAACCCTTTTTGAGCTGAGGCCCGCACGTGGACGATTAGCTCAGCTAGCACACGAGCTCCGCTCTGCATGCCCTAAACCCTAAACCCCAAACCCTTTTTTGCTGCTGGGCTTGTTCAATCACCAGCTCTCTGGCCGAAAAAATCCCGATCATGAGCACTGGGGGTTTCCCAAAATTAGGGGCACTTTTGGGGGTCCCAATAATAAGGATTGTAATATTTGGGGGTCTATATTGGGGTTCCCCTATTCTTGGAAATTACCACTACTGGCTCGTTCTCCAGATTTGCTGAAGCCAACTCTCAGGAATTATCTCATAGAACGTAACAACCATGTGACCGTTGACAACATCAAGTTTAGACTTCAATTGCGCAGCCCTCCAAGAATTCAGCACTGGCAAGTACCCCTCACAGCTCGACTCCCCAACCATGACTACGAGGCATAAGAACGACCTCTGCATGAGAAAGCGCTGCACCCTAAACCCCTACAAAGCCCCACCGCTGCAAGCCTCGAGGAGGTGCGTGCTGAGCGTGTTTCGACTGGCACGGCAGGCAGCCCTGGGCTTTCATGGGGTTTATAGGGGTTATGGGGTTTTATAATGTTTCCAGCGTATGTAGGGTTTCTGGGGGCTTTATAAGGCTTAGGGTATCGAAAGGGTTGGGGTTTATTACCATTACTTTGGGTTTGGGAGCGGATTGTTGACTTTGAAATTTGGGAACTCTAAGTGATTGTAAGTTTATGTGGGCTTGAGGATTTAGGGTTTGGGGGTCAAGGTTAGGGTTTGAAAATTTAGGGTTTAGGGGGTTTAGGGAGTTTAAGGGTTTAGGGCCTAGGGAGTTAAGGTTTCTAACTTAGAGGACTGGGGGATACTAACCCAACAATCGAGAATGAAAGGGAAAATAACATGGAAAATTAGATGGAAACTTGGGCTAAAGTTGTGTTTATACCTAGTATTCCCCTTAATAACCCCTATACTATTCCCCTATATAATCCCCTATATAACCCCCCCTTTAAGGAGTTTAGACTATGGCTCATATCATGGCAGGTCATCAGGGCTAGTGTTCATGGCCTGCTTGGATGGTCAGGGAAACTAAGCAAACATATTTTTCAATGTAACCCTACGCTACACTGGACTACAGAACCCTCGCTCAAAAAACGACGCAGTCTGAAAGCATGTGTTGCGAGTACTCCATGCGATTTCGGAAGAAGCGAAACACAGAACGGTCCAAGAAATGCTGCGCGCACGGCATGTTGAGAATGCCAAGCCCTCAACAGGTTGGTCCTGCTGAGATCTTGCTAGCTGTTAATACGGAATGAAGCAGTGGAAAAGCAACGGGAATCTACTATAGGGCCCAGGTCTTTAAGGGTAAGGGTTATACAAACCATAAACCTCAACATAAAGGTACGTCGGTTCGCACAAGATTTTAATATCCAGCCTTCGGCCATAAACTTGGTCACATCGCTCTTTAAAGGCAATGCGTTTTAAGTTTTAAGTGCTGACATGAAACAATCCAACACTCGAATGCATGTTTTGGCAGGCAAAAGGCAGGTCCTTCACGCCAAACTCACTATGGGCTGAGGTCCATATTTTGCAATGTTGCCTTTTACAATGTGTTCCAATTTTCCAAAGAAATTTGAAAGGTTGATTCGGAAATCTCGCATTTCACTGCGGTAAAAAGCGGATTTCAGACATTCCAAGCTCTTCAGCGCGTGTTTTTTTCCGGCGTGTTTGCCAGCAAGTGCGCCCATCCAACGCTCTTGCGCCATGAAGTCTGGTATTCTCTTTAGGTGGACCCCCCAACCAGTAATAGATAGTAATAGTGACTTCTATCTCAGGCCACGGCCCCAAAACATGACTCTCGACAAGATAAACCCGAATGTGCAGCCGGCAATGCTGGGTGCTCTGCTGCACCTTGCTCCAACCTTTCATGGCGGTGAACCTGCCAAGTTGCATCAACCTACCATATCCATGCTGCGTGTGGGAGGTGGCTGCACTTGGAGGATTGGGGGAACTCAGTAAGCATGGGTACTCATAATCCCTATGAGCCTTGCAAAAACCCGAGCTGCCCGCATTACTAATTAACTTTCCTGCAAGGTCCACCCGACCCTCCAAGTATCTCGCGCACTCCGAACTGGAGCAGTTACTTTTCGTTCCGCTGGCAGCGATAAGAGTCTGCATACTCATGCAGGAGTGTCTCAGATATCATGCCAGTATCATCCCCAGTAGGGACTCCCATAATCCCCTTTTTTGATCTTATATCTCCGAAATCCATAGATTCCCCGTATTCTGAGCAACTCCCATGAAGGCCACAGGAGCAGCATCCTCAATCAACAGCTTTCTTCTTTCTTCGGCGCTTCTTCTTCTTGTGCCGCTGGCTGTCCTCCTCCGTAGAGGTGGTTCGGCGTCGCTTGTGCCTTTTACCAGAGTCAATCTTCCGAAAAAAGAATATAAGACCCTTTATGCATGGCCCCTGTATTTTCCACAGGAAGGAGCCTCTAAAGCGAAAAACTCCCTAAGCCGCGCTGAACCCAAAGATATCTTTTGGGGTTCAGGGTTTAGGGCCCATGCCTCCGGCTGCAAGATCGATCGTTGCTGACAGAGGTCCTGGAATGCCAAGCCCCTCGTCGGTACACTTGCTGCACCAATTCACAAAGCCTGTGGTTTTTTGGTGGCTTTCAATAACAAAGAAGCAACCGAAAGGCCAATAAGATCTGACGCTGTATTGGGGCTATAGCCTTAGGACATGTACCAATTCGCAAGGGTTGAAACAGGTAGGCAAGAGGGGTTAGGGAACGGGATTCAAGGTGAAGGGTTCGGGGATAAGGGATTTCGAGATTCAGACTTCGGGATATATACCTGTCTCTGCGCCATAAACAAGAAAGCAGTTTGGACAAGGGTGGGGGTTGGGGCTGCGGTTACACCATTTCAGGAATAGGGTTCTGTTTAGGGCTGAGGGTTTAGCGTGTTTTAGGGTTGTTTATATTGGCAGGGGCTATTCTGCTAAGAACTCTCTTACGCCACACAGACAAGTAACCAAGCAAAGGCTAAATTCCTAACTCAAGAAGCCCTGCCTGGAACTACCATGGCAAATTTATGGCTACGGTTATACCACAGTACTATTGCCAGTGGAAAGACAATATTTTGTACACAATATATTTCACCATTAATCTGGCGACCCGGTGGTGCCGTTGCTCGATGACTTCTGGATTGCGATGCGCTTCGCAGGGTTTGAGAGCACCAAGCAGACTCCGCCGGGTCTCAGCACAGAAAAACGGAACTTGTCCACGTCGATCTTCTTCCTGCCGAAGGGATACGCGCAGCGGGTACGGAAGAGCTGTGCAGGGTTATGGAAGGGTAAAGGCTCTGTGGGAGTTGCCCCTGAATGTAGGGGGACCTGATTAATGATAGGGACCTACCCCTAATTTTTGGAAACTCTCAGACAGTGGTTCTGAAAGGCCACGCTTGGATCGTTTAGGATTTACTGCTTAGGGTTTAGAGTTATCTTGCAGTGACTGTAGATTGTGAAGGGGCTGATAAGCATTCCACAGCCTAAATAAACACCCTAAACCCTACAACCTTCACGTAGAAGTTGCACTACAAAAACAGTAAATCCTACTGTAAACCCATAAATACTCCTAATATCATATTTAACTACTATTGTTGCTATTAATACCGACCATAGCAAGCATAGCAGTTATTGATAATACAAACGTAGCGCATTGTAGTTTGGGTGGTTGTTATGGATAGGGCAGGTGAGGACGGTTACGGGGGACGGGACTATGCGGCGTTTAACCCCTAAACCTTGTATACCACGCAAGACCTTGAACCCCCAAACCCTCCAGTACCCTAAACCCTAAAACCCTAAACCAGAACCCCTGAACCATGACCCCTGAACCATGACCCCTGAACCATATGTACCCCTAGACCTCTCCTGGCGGAGACAGCGTCGCAATCCATAAGGACGTCCGCTGCCTCACCGGTCTGTGCCACCCAGCTCCTTGTTGTAACATGGTAATAGAGGAAGATAGTAATGGAGTAATATAAGTATATAGAAACATGGTAATATAGCAATATAGTAATATAGTAACATAGTAGTAATGTAGTAGTAATGTAGTAGGAATACAATAGTAATATAGTTCGGGCGTATGGCTGAGGTCTTCTTTTGGGCATTCAGGGGTTTGGGGTTTAGGGTTTAGGGGTTTAGGGCCTAGGGCCTAGGGTTTAGGGTGTAGGGGTTTACGGGTTTAGGGGTTTGGGGTTTAGGGTGTAAGGTTTTGAGCTTATAACCCTAAACCCTAAACCACGTAGGTCAGGGCCAGGATTCCTAAGTTAGCCCCTTTCTTTCCTATGCCTTAGGTGGATCCCCCACCCAGTAATAGTGACTATAGGGGATAATAGGGATTATATTAGGGTCCTCTTATATTCCTAGTATACCACTATTACAGGGTGGGGGTCCTCCTAACCTATGCCTGTGTTGGTGATTTTGCACTGCTGGCAATGAGGACGACTACGGAAAGTAGCATCAACGACACCCACGTGCTCAGCTCCGTGGAGCAAAAGATCTACACTTACAAGAACCTAAAACCCAGAACAAGCGTAAATTGTACCTGTCCAGCTACGAACGAGTAGGGTAGGTCCACCCAGATTTAAGTTTAGGGGTCTAGTTTTTACGGCTCAGGCCCCAAAAGCACACCCTTGTGAACACTAGACTTGACCACCCGAAACCCTGATCCCCACACTTCAGGTCACCTTCTGAAAAACTTTTAGAAACAAGGAATCTTACTGGTGGTTAATACGGATTAGGGAAGGATCATGTTCCCTTATTCTCTGCTAAGCACCAGTCATGAATTGTAGATGCAAGGTGTGCCATGGTAAAGGGCGAAGGGTTCAGGGGCAGCTGGCTTGAAATGGCTCGGGCACAGCAACCCTGAGCACAAGTCGGACATAGGGTTTGGGGTTCAGGGTTTAGGTGCGCGAGTCGATCCTTGACTCTTTGCAGCGAGGCTCTGTGAGGTCCTCAACCCTGAACTCAAACTTGAGGAAGCCTTAACAATGCGAGGGAGGTCTTAGAGGTCCCTGGTAAGCCCTAAACCGCACGCCCTAATCCCCCTCAAGGACCCCTTAACAAAATGAGCGAGGCTCTGGAAATCGGCGGCAGAAAGAAAACTGCGCACCGGGCAGGGCAGACCGCGATCCCAGGCGCCTTCCTGGAACCTGGATTTAAGGCTTTTAGGGTTTAGAGGGTGTAGGGTTTCGGGTTCCAGGAGCATCACACACGCATATCTTATCTTTGCTCGGGCATGCTTCAACTTCACTGCCACCGTCACCCTCAGCCCTACCTGACTATCAACTTACCAAAGCACCTCCCTCTACACTGCCCCCCCCCCTTTAAGTAGGCTAGATACATCTAAATAGGGGGGAAATCTAAGGGGGTAGGTGGGGTAATCCGGGGGGTGGTGGGGAGAACCCATATACCCTAAACCCAAAAGCCTTTACTATAGCAGTTTCCATTTTCTTTTCCATTATCCCAATATTACCCCAATATTAACCCAATATTAACCCAAGTGATCCCTCAATGCTTACCCAGGGACCATCCAGCAAAGACCCGCTGCGCCCGCACAGCGCTTGCACGATGCTTCTCCTTAAGGCTTCCACCGGCATGGGGGTTAAGGTTTTTGCTGGGTTGGCCCCTAAAACCCTTTGAAAAATGTGAATATATAGGCTCCCCTATTAAAGCCATTAGGGAAAATATTAAATATCCCCGGGGCCTACCCAGTTTGCCTCATATACCAGGATGGAAATCCGGGTTTAGGGCCGGTTTTGTCTCACACGGCGCATCTTCTCCTCCCGATCCGCGGTCGGAAAAGATTTATGAGCGGGCCTGTTTAGCTTTTACGCGTTTTCAACGCCTCGGACTTTTGAAATTTTGCGTCTGCATGGAGCTCGTCTCCAGCAGGGACCATATGCGCTGCAATTTGACCTCCACCGTGAGGTCCCACGTCGTCCCTGTCGCTGTCCCTTATCATCAATAATCATGGCGTCGTAAGACACCTACAACTATAATACGCCCTGACTCAGCATACTGTCTCCACACCCTCCCCAAATATCCCTACATAATCCCTGGAAGCCCCAGTGTGGACCATTTAGGCACCCAACGACATCAACCTCGTAGTGTATCACCACTCCCTGACAAAAGCATGGAACCCCAAAAGGGCGCCTGACAAGGACCTGTATCTGGCCCCAAGTTCAACTGAAGTTATAGTCTAAACTCCTTAAGGGGGATTCTAAATACCTTATATAGGGAAGTACTATAGGGCTTATTAAGGGGGATACTAGGAGTTTAGACAATGGCTCAACTGAAGTTATTTAGGGCAGCTCTACCAAAATGGAGAGAATTCAACGTCAAGAATCCGAAGCCCTCAACTTTTTTGTTGCACCCGGACTTGTCACAACCACAAATACAGCGGGAAGTGCTGCATACTGTTCGAACCCTAAACCCTAAATAGTAATTTCTATGTTCTTTTCCATTGCCCCTACACATAAGCGTATGTATTCCTATGCAACCCTATACCAGCCTATAGCACCTCACATAAGCTTGCATAAACTTACATAACCCCATGTAAACCGATACAAGCCTATATATCAATATATAACCCTACATGACCCCTTTGTATATCCTTATATGGTAGTTTCCCACAATAAGGGGACCCCAATATAGACCCCAAAACATTATAGTCCTTATTATAGGGACCCCCAAAAAGGTGCCCCTAACTTTGGGAAACCCCATATACCTATACCAACCCAGAACCTCTTTATGATGAGCACCACAAGTCTCCCCTCCGTAGGCGATGTCTATCAAGTGGATGGCACGCACACGCATGCCTTCCTTTGGCAGGGTTTAGGGGTTTAGAGGTTTAGGGTTCAGGTGTTTAAGGTTTAGGGTATAGCGTTAGGGTTTAGAGTGTGGAGAAAAAGTAGGCAGGGATAACTTGTTCGATTAGATTTTGTGGGCCTTGGTTGTTGGGGTCAAGGGACATGATGACTAGGATTCATGCCTTGGTTCTGGCCTTCAAGAATATGGGGCTAAATCACAAACCCCCAAGCCCTGAAATCATCCTTCTCAAGTTACCTAACCCTAAGCCCTAAACCTAAAACCCTAAACTCTAAGTTACTAATAGTACTCCAGTCACTACTGTGACTACTACAAGGAAGCAATCGCTTCAGCTTCTGCATGCCAAGTTCCTCATGACTACCCGAGCCCTACTCTCCTTTTAAGCTCAGGAGAACTGGATTTAAGGTTTAGGATTTAGGCTTTACGGTTTAGGGTGTAGGATTTAGGGTTTAAGGTTTTGGGTCTACTGCCCCCAAAGAGATACCCTGGCTCTCCCCCCAAGATCTTCACCCTAAACCATTTCCCCTACACCCTAGATCCAAACCCCTAACCCTGACCAACCCCCAAGCCCTAAAACCCCAACAGCCCTCAGCTCCTGCACCCCTACACCCTAAACTCTAAATCCTACACCCTAAACCCTAAGCCCTAAACCCTAAACCCCAGTCCTTCCGCGTAAGGTGCTCCAGCAGCTCCCAGTCGAAGAAGAGCTGCCCACTTCCAAGAGAGCAGTAGACAAGGCCTGCCTTTCACAGTGTTAGGGTTGAGGTTTAGGGTTTAGGGTTCAGGGTTTAAGGTTTAGGGTTTCACACTGCTTGGGGTCTATGTATACTATAGGGTTTTGATAGGGTTTATCTAGGGCTTATATAAAGTTTTTATAGGATTTACATAGGGTTTATATAGGTTTATATAGGGTGTACATAGGATTTATATACCGTTGCACGTACACATGAAGATATGTGTATAAGAAATATGGTATACATAGAAGGTACATCCTAGGCATATAGGCCATTGACACTCAGGGTCACAGGACACGATTAGGATTGTTACCCTCCCGCCATGCCTCGACACTCTAGGACTCAGGCTATAGGGTTGAGATCGTGGGATAGTAACGTACTGTTGCTTCGTCTGAGGTGCAAGCCTTAACATGGCTCGCAGGGTTCTCAGGCCTAAGGCCTAAGGCCTAAGGCTTAGGATGTAAGTAGGGCTTGGTAGCTTTTATCCCTACAAAGTCGCTTCCATTTTCTTTTCCGTTATCCCTACTGTATATATCCTTCATATTAGAATTCTATATAATCATATATAGCCCCATTCAACCCTATATCACTCCAATACGAGGTCATATCCCTATATGACCCCTTTGAAGTCCTAGTAACCTCCTTCTTTTATATAGGTCATATCCCTACATAACGCCTATAGTACCTAACTTTGGGGAAGAACTAGGTCTCCCTTTCACGCGCTCCAAATATTTGGGTTGAAGCAAGACTTCCAGGGTCCTCAGGGTAAAAACACTCTAGGGTCCAGGGTTTAGAGCTTAACAACCCAAAACTCCAAACCCTAAGCCATAATCCCTAAACCATAAACCCTCATCCCTAAACCCTAAATCCTAAATCCTAAACCCTAAATGTCAAGCTGTACATACATACCTTACTTGGCATGCCCTCCTTCAGCACATCTCTTTTTCGACTGGCGGCCTGCCTTTGGGCACGAGGCCTTGATGTGATCCACACAGAACCTCCCAGAGCCACAGATGGGAGGATGTCAAAACGGTGGACCAAAAAATATAGTTAAAGGGTTTAGGGTTTAGGTGTATAAAGGGTTAGCTTAGGGTTATATAAATTCTGTATAAATGTATATATGTATATATTTATCTCTGAATATATTAGATGGGGATTATCAAGGGAGGATACGTGATTTCGAAGAGCTGCCAGATCAAGATCTCTGGACCCCGCCCAAACTTGGCAAACCGGGGCTGTCGCATGTAGACACACGAGTGTGATCAATACGTCAATACGTGTAGCCAAACAGCACAGGATATAGTCCCCCTTAAGTAGATAGAATATGGCTTGGGGTATATGATCATAAGATCCCCATATACCCCATATTCTATCTGCTAAAGGCGGACTATATGTAAGGGGCAACCCTATGAGCTTCGGATTTGTCAGAGCTTAGGTGGAACATCCAGTGCTGATGCCAAAGCTACCCTCGCAAAATCTGCACATCACAACACAAGAACTTAAAGGACCCCATACCTACGGTTACCAGTATAGATATCACAAGTGTCGACCACCCCCGGGCTCAGGACGACGCCTACATACTCATTTATGAGCTATAGTCAAAACTCCCGGAAAGGGGTTATATCGGGGATTATATAGGGGAGTAGTATAAGGGTTATTGAGGGAGAGACGGGGAGTGTAGACTATGCGCATATTGGGTCATTCCCCTTTATTAAGGGGCTTTTATGACTCCTAGTATTTCCTGCGGCGACTGTTACTGTAAGGAGCAATGACTCAACTGGTATACTACAACTCCCGGAATTAAACCCTGCTGGGACTCCCATTTCTTAAGCTTCCTCAACGTTTGCCAGAATACTGGGTTCAGGGTTTAGGGTTCTGTACCCCAAATGAGGGAAACAGTCGGGGAAGCGAGTATGGGATGTAGGGGGTGTAGGATCCCGAGCCAATCGGAGCCGTCCCCAAGCAAATTGACCAAGCTCTGCAACTCTCATAATTCAATACCACTGTAGGGTGGAATGGTTTAAAGGGGCCGTGTGTTTGCAAAAAGGGGAAAGGGACGAGCGAATTTTGGGAAAATCCGCTGTGAACCTCTGAGCCCTAAACCATTTGGGATAGTCCTCTCTGACCTTGAAACCCTAGTCCCTGCACCTTTACTCTTTTTGGGAAATCTGCTCTGAACGTGAAAACCCTAGACCCTGACTGCCTTCTGAGGCTCTAAATCTTAAAGCCTAAATCCCCTCTGAACCTATACAACCCCTTCTAAAGGACCTAAGGCATCCAGTTTACTTTCCATTTCCTGTTTCATTTGATTCTCCACCATTGGTGATATCCTAAGCCCTACATGATGCCTATGCACCCCTATAATCCCTATACAACGCTAGAAGCTTACTATAGTAGTTTTCATTTTATTTTCCATTATCCTTATAGATCCCCCAAAAATATAACCCGAATATACTATAGTAGTTTCCATTTTCTTTTCCATTATCCCTTAGAATCCTCCCTGCACGGCGCCATGAACCTCAGAAAGTCGGGCCGAACCGAAGCGTACTTGCCCAGGCGGTAGTTTCCGCACTTCCGATCCCCACATTCGCCTAGGTCCTTCCTTGGTGGTTGGTAGGGTTTAGGGTACAGGGTATAAGGCTTAGTAACCCTAAACCCCCTAAATCCTCAACACCCTAAGCCCTCTAGACCCTGAAGCTTTGAACAGAAACGTGGTCTGCATGTGCCTTTTCCATCTCCCTATATACGCTGGCATAAAACCATTAAAAAACCTTTCTTATGCGATGAAACCTCATAATCCTGTAGAACCCAAAATAACCCTTTAGAACCCTATATAATCCTATCTAACTGCGCAATTGCACGGATACGTATATATACATATAGATATGCAATCCTAGCTTCAAGATGCACTCCGCGCCCCCAGGCAGGAATCGGCAGGGTCGAACATAGCCGTGCCGACGCTCAAGCTGCAGCAAGGATCTGTCCTACTGGGTTTACTGTTCAGGGTTCAGCGTTCAGGGTCTGGGGTTCAGCTTAAGGTTTGGGGTTCGGGCTTAGGGTTTGGGATGGTTTACGATGTCGGTGTCACATAGGGATTATACGGATGAGCGTTATGTGGGGCTATATAGGGGTCATATGAGAGTGTATGATGATATAAATATATGAATGAACAGACATGATCGCTCTCTAGATACATTTACACCCTAAGAAGCACCGCCATAATCCCCTCAGAATCCCTACGTATCTCTAAGGGTCCCCATAGACCCCCCTCAATCTTGAGAAACTCCCATTTGGGGATTTCCTATGTCGGGGATACATAGCAATTATAAAGGGGCTACTGAAACCCTATCCTGAGACCTTCCAACCAGGCAGCCTCCCTTCATGTTCGCTGGGGCAGGTTTGCTGGGGCAGGTAGGGGCCTAAATTAAGAGACCAGGGGCTCGGGGTTTCAAGTGAATACATATCTACAAAGTAGGAACCTAACTTTTGAGACAGGGGGCTGGGGGTATCAAGCAAGTAAAGTATCTATATACAGTACGCCTACCGTCCCCCCCTAAACCCTAAACCGTAAACCTAAACCCTAAACCCCCTGTGTCCAGGGCGTCGCGGAGCACCCGGCGCGACTCGTCGCTGACCAGCTTCGGGCGTACGAGAGCTCCAGCACCGGAGCTGCCAGAGGTGGAGGAGTCCGTCGACATGACATTCTAGCAATGGGTTTAGGGTTTAGGATTTAGGATAAATAACAGCACCTGACATTCTAGTAATAGGGTTTAAGGTTTAGGATTTAGGATTAACAATAGTGCCGAAAAAAAGAAGAATGACAATACTACTATATTCTAGTCATAAAAAGAAGAACCATGACAATATTAATGTGTTGGGGCTCTCGGGTTTTTGGGCTCTAGGTTTTTGGGGCTTAGGGCACCAGGGTTTCGGGCTCCAGGCTTTGGGTTTTAGGGTTCAAGGTTCCAGCCTTTGGGCTCTCGGGTTCAGGGTTCAGGGTTTCGAGCTAGCCTTTCGCGTTCAGGGTCAAGGGTAGAGGGGACGCTTGCGCCAAGCTTCAAAAGTTACCTAGCTGCTTTGCAAAGAGCTGAGGTTTGATGGCGCATTTGAAGGCTCGTTTAGCTTCTTTTCAAATGGTTAAAGGCTATAGTCCCCCTTAAGTAGATAGAATATGGCTTCGGGTATGTTACAATAAGATCCCCACATGCCCCATATTCTAGCTACTTAAGGGGTACCATAAGTTTGAAGCTGAGA